TGCATCTCTTTTACAAATTGCCTTTCCACCAATTTTGGTGTCACCTGCAAACCTGCATCCATTACGTTCAGAGATAGTAGGAACTGCCAATGCTGGAGAATCTGAGATAACAAGGTGTAGAGCTGGATGAACACAGCAAGCTAAGCAGCATCAGAGGAGCAGGAAAGCTGACGTTTCGGGTCTAGACCTTTCTGAGGAAGGGTCAACACAGGCCGACTGCTGTGTTCATCCAGCTCTATACCTTGTTGTCTCCATTACGTTCACTTCCTTTTTCCAAGTCATTATTATACACTGTGACACAGTTGCAATCCCAGTGATGATCCTTGTGGAACCCCACTGTTTACATCTCACTGATGTGAAAACGAACCCCTTAACCCCACTGGTGATTTCATGTTCACTAGTTAATTTTCTATCGATGTCAACAGACGGCCTCCAATAACTGAGCTGTTATTAATTATAGTAGCCAAATACGTAATAGCTTTTCAAATGCTGATTCAAAATCAAAACATATTACATCACTGTTCTCCCTTTATTGTTTCTTCCTCAAATCATTCTCATAATATTTTCAGGCATAATTTCCCCTTTGTGAAGCAAAGCTAACTCTGCTTGATCAGGTTGGTGAATTTCCAAAAGCTCTACTATTACAGAGTCACAGATGTACTGCACAGAAACAGAGCCTTAGGTCCAACAGGTTCCAATCAGATATTCAAATCTCACTTAGTCCCATTTGCCAGCATTTGGCCCATAACCCTCCAAACCCTTCCTATCCATGTGCCCATCCAGATGCCTTTTAAATATTCTAATTGTACCCACCTCCACCAGTTCCTCTGGCAGCTCATTCCATACATGCACCACCCTGTGTGTGAAAAAGTTGCCCCTCAGGTCCCTTTTAAATCTTTCCCTTCTCCCCTTAAACCTGTGCCCTCTAGTTTTGGGCTCTCCTACCCTGGGAAAGACCTTGGCTATTCACCCTATCCATGCTCATGATTTGATAAACCTCTAAAGGTCACCCCTCAGCCTCTGATGCTCCAGGGACAAAACCTCAGCCTTTTCAGCCTCTTCCTATACCTTTACACTATCCCTCAACACCCCCCCACCCCCAACAAACCCTGGCAACATCTTTGTAAATCTTTTCTGAAACCTTTCAAGTTTAACAGATTTTCCAAATGAAAGACGTTCAGTTTTCATATGCTAGATTTTGTCCAAAATCTATTTCACTTAAAGAATTTTTTTGGACTTTGCAACTACATTTCAACAAGCAACAAAGTAGTGCTGGAGAAACAACAGGTCTGGCAGTATCTGTGGAGAGACAAATTGTTAATATTAATAAACTGACCCAACACCGAAACTAGGCAACAAAATCCTCTACACGCTAGAAAGAGGTAAACAAACAGGACAGATCAACAAAGCAGACTCAAGAATGAAACCCGAAGGAACCAACACACCCCAATTCTACGGCCTCCCTAAAGTGCACGAGCCGGAAGTCCCCCTCAGACCCACAGTCTCCCTGCCAGGCACTCCCTCACACAGATTAGTCAAGGAACTACAAAGGAGACTCAGGCACCTCGTCAACAAGTCACCCCACTCAGCCCAAGAATTCCTCAACTCCAAAGACTTAAGGATAGACGACGAAGAGACCATGATATCGTTTGATGTCACTGCCCTATTTACATCGATAGACATACCACTAGCAAGGGAAATAATGACAACACTACTTGAACAAGAGCAAGACCCCAGTGAAACCATCTCCAAGGACAACATGCTCAAACTACTGGACCTATGCCTCACCACCCACTCCACTTTCAATGGCCAAACATACCAGCAAATCAACGGGACACCCGTGGGATTGCCTATCTCCAGACTCATAGCAGAAGCAGTGATGCAAAGACTAGGAAGGACGGTCCTTCCACAAATCCAGCCTAAACTATGGATATGCTATATAAACGACACCTTTGTCATCATTAAACGGACTAAAATTAGAGGAGACATACAAACTTATAAACAACATCCTCACTGGAATGAAATTCACCAGAGAGGAGGAGAAGAACAAACAACTCCCATTCCTGGACGTCATGGTAGAGTGCAAGACAAATGGGGATCTGCAAACAAAAGTACGCCGAAAAGCCACACACACAGACCAGGTATTGAACTTCAATAGTAACCATCCCAGCACACAAACGAAGCTGCATGTGAACACTATTTAAAAGGGCAACAACACACAACAGAAACACCAAACTACACCAAGAGGAAGAAGAATACCTCTTCCAGGTGTTCAAAGTTAATGGATATCCAAAAAACTGGGTCAGAAGATACTTACACGAACATCAGAAAGATACTACACACCCCGACACACACATCACACTACCCTACATCAGGAACACGTAGGAACTCAAGACTCCTAAGACCGCTGGGCATCAGAGTGACACACAAGCCCATATCAACCCTACAACAACTGCTCACCCGACCTAAAGACCTACTCCCCGCCATGGACAGGACCAATGTCATCTACAAGATCCTCTGCAGAGACTGCGAGAAACACTACATCGGACAAACAGGAAGGAAACTAACAACAAGGCTACATGAACACCAACTGGCTACAAAAAGACACGACCAATACTCACTCATCTCAATCCACATGGACAAGGAGAACCACCATTTTGACTGGGACAGGCTAGGCAGAGACAGGCACGAGAATTCCTAGAAGCCTGGCACTCCACGAAACATGCTATTAATAAACATATTGAACTCGACCCCATATACATTTCACTACGAAGGAAAACCAGAAGTGTGGCAATCCATCTCTCAACGGACCCCAGAGTTTAAAAACCAGGCGGGAAAACACACCGACACTTCATGAGAGGCTGCACTAATGACGTTACCAAGCATGGTAACGAAACATCTGCGGAACAATGAACCAGCTTGGCGAGCCAACCAACCTCAACACCCATAACCCAAGCTACAAATCTACTCCAAAACCTTAGAGAGATCTATAGAGACTGGAAGTTATAGGCAGATGCCAGTTGGAGGGTCCTTCAGTTAAGATCGATAACCCAGATCCCATTTTTTTTTTTTTTTAAAGCTGTCTTCCTGCTCCCTCAGCAAAGCTGAGGTTTGCAGATATTCTTGGAGTCTTCGTGAACAGTTGTTTCAAATTGCTTTCTTACTAGGCACTGACTTTTGAGCTCGATGACAGATAGACAGGCAAAAATAGAATCTTCCTATTCCTGCTTACAATCCAGTTTTCCTCATCTGTTCTGCTGCTCAGCAGCACTGTTGATAAAGGTCCATTTGTATCTCCCTGAACCTGCTCAGTGTTCACAGATATTGTTGCCTCAATGTGCAACTTCCAGGAAGGTGTGTAATCAACCAGGAGGTGCAAATCAGAGTTCCAGCGTCCTTTTATAACATTAAAATTTCATAATGTTACTCTGGCTCAGATAGATCCTCTCTGACTGATGGTTTTAACCTGTTCAGGTGGATACAACAACCATTTTAGGTCAGTATTTGTGATTTTTAAAACCAATTTTTAGTTCATGGTTAGCCGCAAGTATTGGAGCCAGATGATGGAAGTTGCATATTGATAGTCCATTACTACTACAACCATAACAGGGTCTGGAGTCACATGTAGGCCAGACCAGGCAAGGACAAAAGATTTCCTTCACTAACCAACAATGAACCAGACGGGTTTTATCGATAACTCCAAAGTCAAGGTATTGCAATGATCAGGTCACATGGTCAAATAATGGATTGGAGACGAGACAGGATTTAGACAGTGACTCTCCTGCAGCAAGGGGAACCAATAACATTTGGATTTAAGCTGGGTCCAAAAGGAAGGAACAAGTCCCCAGAACAAGCAGACACAAGACAAGTAACTGATGAGTGTAATTAAAAGACCTGAATGCTTCAAAGATTATGTCTGAATCGAGGGCAGGGGTAGACGAAAGCAAGACAGACAAGAACGAAAACTTTTCATTCATGGAGTTTGTGTTTGGTGCAGCCATGATGGGTTGAATGGCCTCCTTCTGCACTGCAATAATTCTGTGATGAATTAGAAATTTCTTGATTGGCCACAAAAATTGGGCAACTTGCAAATACAAAATTATAATGTATGCAATTCACTTTTTTTGAAAGGAGAAGTGTTTGGAGAAACCCTGCAATACTGTCTTACTCTAGTTACATAGCTACTTCCAGTTTAGAAAGAAAAACCATTGAAGTTGGCATAAGGAACATATCACGTTGCAATAGTTGTAGGTTAAACTTCATTCCACCAGCTGACGCATAGCCAGGAAATATCACACTTACAGCTGCTCTGTTCAAATTACCCCCTGTACTAATACAAATAGTCTGTCCTAGTTAATCAAAGATCGCATTACGTTTGAAATACCAATTCTCATATCCTGAGGTTAACTAGGCAACTGCAAAGATTGGGTGTAAATTGATTGGTGCATTGGTAGGTAAATCACTACAGTAAAAGAGGTAAAAAAAGTTGCCACGGTCCCAGGGCTGCTCTCAGGAGAGGGGGAGTGGAGGCAGAAAGAGAGAGAAAAACTTGGAGGTGTCACCACGCCTCAGGCGAGAGGAAGAAGTCGAGTGCTGGGATTTTCATGGTATACTCAGCCTGCGCAGAATCCCAGCCTACACCAGGTACTTTTCAATACTGTTGATAGTGAAGGCTGCTTGTTCACTTCAGAGAGAACATTGAAAACAGCGATGTCAAACTAAACTTGCAATAAAATCTGAACTAGCGTATTCCGGTTGGCTTTTTACACAGTACCCGAAATGTCACAGGCGATGCCTATACATTGCCTATACTCCAGCTGAACTAGACCGAGCTAAATTATGACATTAATGCACATACACCCAAACAAAACGATACAAGAGGTTCTGGCTGGAAACAGGAAGGTCTCATTGAGAACCATTGCCCTGAACCTGTGGGCCCTGGGTTACACAGTCTTAGGCTCAGATTTTGCCCTCACACCCTTCGCCTCAGTAAATCTTACCGGCCTGCTGCTCGACCCTTTGATCTTGGCGGCGGGGTCATACACGTGGCACCTGACGGACGTGGAGCCGACATCGACGGCCAGAACGTACGTGTCAGTCCGTCGGAGGCCATTTCTGACAGACCCCATCCCCGGGAAGTGATGGGGGGCGGTGGGACAGGTGGCGGGAATCAGACAGCCTGGAAACGGGGAGCCATGAAACAAGCTCTTCACAAATAAAAGGCAGGGGGAGGGGAATTGGAAAGCAATAGTCACAAAGAAAAGACTGTGTTTCAAAACAAAAAGGAAAACCAGAGGTGGGTTTGAACACCAATAAAAATGAAGGGAGAGGTCTCCAAAGCAGGGAACAACAGCCCAGGGAGAGTTCTCTCACAGTTACTTTGTATCCCACGAAGGTAAAAATGTATCCAAGAGAAACACTCGCATCCTCCCGCTTCCTGGTGTCACGGCCTGTCTACAGCGAGCCGAGTGCAGGGCTCCCCGGCCACTGAAGGACATCATGAGACCACTCAGCCTGGAGTCCCCCCCCCAATGAGCTTGTCCATTGGCGCTTTCTCTGCGCCCACCCCCCGAAACCGCCGTCCCCCTCCCCGTATTGAGGTCACTAACCCACCCCCGCCCCCTGTGACGCAGCGCATCAGCCCATCTTAAAGGGGAGGTGCCATCGCAGGCCTATGGGGATGTTTTCAATGTGCAATTTAAACGCTCAGGCGCTTTAAATAGCAGGGCGAACGGGCCCGTTCGGTCCAACTCGAACAGGTATCCTAAATTAATCTAGTCCCATTTCCCTCTAAACCCTTCCTATGCATGTACCCATCCAGATGCCTTTTAAATGTTAGCCATGATGTGGAGGTGCCCGTGTTGGACCAAGTCAGAAGTCACACGACACCAGGTTATAGTCCAAAGGTTTATTCGAAATCACAACCTGGTGTCGACTTCTGGCCTTTTCAATGTTGTGGTTGTACCAGTCTCCACCACTTCCTCTGGCAGCTTGTTCTATACAGGGATCGCCCTCTGCCTGGAAAAAGTTGTCCCTTAAGTCCCTTTCAAATCTTTCCTCTCTCACCTTAAACCCATGCCCCCTAGTTTTGGATCAGAGATAGTAGAAACTGCAGATGCTGGAGAATCTGTGACAACAAGGTGCAGAGGAGCAGAAATGAAGAAGGGTCTAGGCCCGAAACGTCAGCCTTTCTGCTCCTATGCTGCTGCTTGTCCTGCTGTGTTCATCCAGCTCTGCACCTTGTTGCCCCCTAGTTTTGGACTCCTTTACCTTGGGGGAAAAAAAAGACCTTGTCTATTCACCCTATCCATGCCCCTCATGATTTTATAAATTTCTATAAGGTCACCCCTCAGCCTCTATCATTTCAGGGAAAAGTTTGTTGGTTTTGTGTTAATGACTCCCTCACTGAGAGATTTCCAACCTTGCAACACACGACAAATGGACATTATCCACTTGAAAGCACTTCAGGACTGGTCCCAAACAGTGCTTTTTGAATGCACCCTGCTTTCTCCCAACAGGTGCTGCCAGATCTGCTGAGTTTTTCCAGGAACTTCTGATTTTATTTCTACTTCAATGCAAGTCTTCCCCAGTATAATCGAATTCTGCCGATCGACTGACACAGAGTCTATCTCAATCCCTAGAGAACTAGGTACACTCATCAGCTCAAATGCAGCAAAATACTGCAGATACTGGAAATCTGGAACAAAAACAGAAACTGCTGTGAAACTCAGCAGGTCTGGCAGCATCTGTGGAGAAAAGAACAGATTTAGATGCAGAGTTATTTTTTCCCCAAGTTAGGGGAGTCCAAAACTAGACGACATAGGTTTAAGGTGAGAGGGGAAAGATTAAAAAGAGACCTAAGGGGCAACTTTTTAATGCAGAGGGTGGTGCATGTATGGAACAAGCTGCCAGAGAAAGTGGTGGAAGCTGGTTCAATTACAATATTTAAAAGGCACCTGAATGGGTATATGGATAGAAAAGGTTTAAGGAGGATATGGGGCAAATGCTAGCAAAGGGGACTAGATCAGAATGGGCTGTATGGTCAGTGCAAACACGTTGGACCTAAGGGTCTGTTTCTGTGCTGAGTAACTCTATGACTTCTTCAGAAGAAGATTAGAAATGCTGCCAGTTTTCAATTACAATTAATCTAGGATCTCATTAACTCAATCTATCCAATAGGGAATCCCACATGCTCATCACCCATGTCTTTTTCAACATCCCCTTTTCAGACCTTCCTCAGGCAAATCAACTTTAAAATTCTAATTCTCATCGAGATTGTTTAAAGTGATCAAAGAAGTTGACACAGATGGAAATAAATTATTTCCTCTGGTATGAAGGTCAGAACAAAAGCATGTAACATAATTTAAATTACACCAATGAGTGATCTTATCAAAAAGGACTTCCTCACATAACCAGAATAGAAAACTGTGAATGGCCACAAAAAGCTGCTGTAGCTGGGTCAACAAAAGATAATATCTGATTAACAAGATTATTTTTCAAATATCAGTTGGCACAGCAGGTTCAAGGGGCCAAATGGCCTACTCCTGTTCCGATTTCTTATGATCTTAAGAGTTAAGAAACCAGGTTCAGTAGATAAAGCTCAGAAACAGACCAGAGTAAAAAAAATGAATGGTGGAACAGGCTCAATGGCTTTCTATGCATTTTTCATTTTAATTTTAGTAGGACCTTTAGCCATTTTTTCCCACACTAGCATTTTCCCTCAATTTATTTGTACTTTAATTTATTTGCATCTTCAAAAAGACCTAAATCTTCACAGCTGAAGAGCCTGAGAACGTCTCCAATCAAAATAGCAATTTCTCCTTCTTCATAATACTTTATTGTAGTATTCACTGGTATATATTTCAGCAGAATACATTTGTAGCAGAGGTAAAAAGACAGAAGAACAAAGCGTCCCCCTGTAATTAATAGGTTTTTAGACAGAAAAACAAATGAATTTTTAAAAGTAACTTCAACTGTAACACATCAAACCTCCAACATGAAAGTTATTAATACAGTACAGGTACACTGTGAACTAGCAGGAGTTGCAACACTAAATTTAATTTGGTTCCAACATTCTAGTATGATTTACTGTCCTTGATGTGGTTTTGCATAATAATCTTGGTGATAATGAAAATATAATGATGCAGCACTAATCTCATCATTAAGTGCAAGATTAGATTAGCTATCTCTTTTGGCAGGAAAGACGAGTATTTAACATGAAGTTCAAATGTAGAAAAACCCATAAGATCTGCATTGATGGTATAGATTGGCTGGATTGGAAAAGGATGGTGTATTTTCACTAAAATATAGCATACTGTAACATTATTGGTTACTTTTAAGTCACGTTGATGGTTGGAATATTACGAACTGTTGGGGGCAACAAATGAACAGGATAGGCCATTCTTCCCCTGTATTCTATGCCACCATTGTTTGATCATTGCTGATTTGTATCTCAATGCCACCAACCTGCTGTGGTTTCACTACCTTTGCCAACTCATAGATATTGTTCACAATGTAATTTGTAAAGGGTTTAGGTTTTGTTTTCAGGGGTTGCAAGAGTTCCAGATTTCTATTATGCTTTACACGATGTGCTTTCTAAAATCACCTCTGAATAGCCAACTTAAATTTTAAGTGATCAAAACTGAACTGCTGAAAATTCTGAGTAGAATTGGCAGCATTTATGGGGGAGGACAAAACACAGCTAATATTTCTGGCCAATGACCTTTCTAACTTTAAGATTTTGGACCTGTAAATTGAAGTTTGGGGAAAGTGAAATCCAAGGTTGGGGAGCTTGACATCAATAGAATTTATCAGCTTTAACTGCAGACATAGATTAATCCAGTCATTATATTATTGTAAGGGGTAAAACAAAAGTTCCCACTTTAACTGGTAAATTAATCTCCCATCACCTGCTGGGATCCATTGTACCTTTCCTCAACCAAGGGAATAACAATTACAACATTCTCACTGTTTACATCACTTAAACTGGTTGCCACATTGACTGCATACCAAGCAACAATTTTATTTTCAACCTTTTCAATTTCTATGACTGGAAATGACAAATTGGAGACTAGAAAGAGGGAACAAACACTAGATGAACCACACAACTTGGAAAGCCATTTCACGAAATAGTGACAGAATCTATATCAACCCTCCTGGCAGAGTTCAGTGCACATATTAGATTCTGGAATTAAATTACACCCTGCACAATAAGTAAATGCACAAGAGTCCAGATAAAATTTCCATGCACCGAGTAAAAGAACATGAGACTTCATTTAACCCTACACTTCCCAAGTTGTTACAAACTACTAAATAACAGAATGTCAGCAACACATTTTGAACACTTGTAACAAAATGCTTTATTTGTAATATTGAGCTTGCGTCAGCAGAAAGTGCAACATTGAATTGTATTGTTGTTAGCCAGTAATGTCTCCATCGTTTAATACATAAAATGTAAAAAGTCCACATTTGTCAATAAATATGATTCATGTGTCACCAATGTCTGTTCACTGTACATCTTTCGTAGGCCAATGTGATTCATGTGAAAAGGCTTTAATACAACATTAAGAGTACTCATAAAAGCAATACAATTTTAACATTGATAAACATTAAAATGTTTGTGTCATAAAGTTAAAATTCTTAAAGTATTCTAAAACAAAAAGATTACAAGTAAATGCATAGAACCTACAAATCAGGCAGTAAATTTGAAATTTTCCGGTTTCTATAAAACAATTTTATAAGCAATTTCTACAACATCTACAGCAGAAGATGAATTTTCTTTAGTCATATAAAATACATTGTTTTACATGAGCACATCAGGCTTTTGGTGTTTTAACTGTACAATGGACATAATTGATTATATTGAATAAAAATGAAAATTACATGAAATTTATAAAAACGAAAATGGTCACACATGTTGAGATGAGATATTGCAGTCGGACAGTCAGATGATCCCTGGCCGATGGATGGTAGTTTCACAAGGTATCGGCAGATGTGGACAAACGTGGGCATCAGATTACACTAAATATGGATCTGGAGTACCTTTTAAAAAATTTAACACAATTAAAATTTAATGCCCACTTTCAATTACGTATTTACACCATTTCAGTGCAGCTAAAAATATTTCTAGAAAATATTTCAACATTTCAAAGCACTTGTTTTAGCTATATAAAAGCATGTTTAAAACTCATTCTAACAACCTGGGTATTAAAACAAAAACGTTTCAGCAAACACCAGGGCATTTAAATTTCTTTACCTTAAACGATAAATTTCACCATTTTCTTTAAAATGAAATGCAAGGTAACTGGATTCAATAATTACATTAAAACAGAACTGCAGGGCTGGTAATCAAACAAAAACATAAATTACTCAAGAAACTCAACAAGTCTGGCAGCACCTGTGGAGGGAAAACAGAATTGATGTTTCAAGTCATGTTTCTCTCCACAGAGGATACCAGACTTGCTAAGATTCTCCAGCAATTTCTGTTTTGGAACTCAACAATTATGAGACAAGACAAAGAATAGGAAAGAAACATGGGTATGAAAAAATATAGCATAGCACACTATTTTGGTTGGATCGATATTTTCAATACAACAGAAAATATCACGATTCACAAAACCAGTAGAAGAACAGGATCTTCTAACATAAAGGAAAGATCTGATGTGGAGGACTGGTGTTGGACTTGGGTGGACAAGGTCAGAAATCACACGACACCAGGTTATCATTCAGCACGTTTATTTGAAAACACAAGCTTTCGGAGCCTCACTCCTTTAGGTGTTAGTGAGAGAGGCAGGATCAGACACAGAATTTATAAGAAAAATATCAAAGGGTCACACCACTGATGAGGATGTACTAAACAAATCTAAGATGCTGTTGGAAGGTTTTAATTGCTTAATACATATATATAAATCCCCAAATTTCTTTGAAGTCACTGTCCTGAGAGAACTAAAGGTTTTATCAGCGTAGAGGTGACATTTTAGGTAGACAATGCATGTTAGGTGTGAGGCCTTGTTTAGAATCTGTTTGTGCTTTGATTTGGAGTCAGACTGGTTTTATTTCTAAAGTAGGAATTTATAAAATGCCACATTGACTGACTGTCTATAAATTGTGTGCTTTTTAAACAAAATAGAATTCATTGGCAAATACAAATTCACCCCATAGATTTATGTATATGTGTGTGTGTGTGTGAGAGTGAGAGAGAGAGAGGGAGAGTTTTTGCATTGGAGGGTGGGTGTGTGGGTGTGAGTTCCAACGTGCCACAGTGAAAAACTGTAATGACCTCAGAAGACAGACACGGGATCAGTCTGATTAGGGTACCTTTCATCATCAAGTACTTCCCGGGAGCGGAGAAATTACGCAATGATCTTCACAGCCTTCAACACATTATCGATGATGAAGAGCATCTCGCTAAGATCTTCCCCATGCCTCCATTTCTCGCCTTCAAAAGCCAAACCTTAAACACACCATTATTCACGGCAAACTACCCAGTCTTCAGGACAACATCGAGCATAACACCACACAACCCTGTCACGGTAACCTCTGCAAGACATGTCAGATCTTTGACACAGACATGATCGTCACACGTGGGAACAATGGCCAACATTGTCGACCTCATACGCTGCAGGCAAGGATGCCCCAAGGCATGGTATATTGGTGAAGCCATGCAGACGCTATGACATCAGATGAATGGACACTCCCCACCCCCGCAACACACACACACACACGCTCCCTACCCCCCCAACACACAC